CTCTGGCTGTGTTACCCAGGCTGAATTTGAACTGCTGAGCTCTCAAGCAATCCTCCCACCTTAGCCTACCTAGTATCTGGGACTATAGGCAGGCACCACCATGCCTGGCTCAAATCTTAATAATTCATGTTTGGTTGCTAAACCATCTGATTCTGTATTTCTGGAAGGGACTTTAGTCTGCTCACAAACTTGATTGTTCATTTAGATGGATGTAGAATTCCAGGTTGATAAACATTTGCTGTCACAACTTTACAACTGAAGGCCTTGCCTGTTTGCCTTTTAGCATTCATTTGATAAAAAGTCTGGTGGTAATCTAATTCTTACACCTTTGTAGGTCAGCATTTTTTTCCTTCCCTGTGACACATTTGTGATGATCTGATCCTTAGTGATCTGAAGTTTTATCATTGGTATCTCTGAGGTCTTTTCCTGTCCTCCTTAGTGCTTAGTGAGCCTTTTCAGTCTGAAGATTCGTATCTCTTAAGCTATGAGAAAGTTTTTCCCATGGTTTTTTTTTTTTTTTTTTTTGATAACTAGTACAGTCATCCTCTGAGATGATTGTGAAAGATCTGTGTCTCCTGGTCTTGATGCCTTTTGTAGTCTTCTCCCACACTGATATGCATGACCAATAGAATATGGCAGAAGTAAAGGTATATTGTTTCTAATATTAGGTAATGAAAGACATTATGGCTTCTTTGTTACTGTCTCTCTCTCTTGGATTACTCATTCTGGCAGAAGCCGGCTGCCATGTCATGAGTATCCTTGTGGAGGCCCATGTGAGTGAGGAACTGAGGCTTCTTGCCCCAACAGTCATGTGAGTGAGCTTGGTTGTGAAACTTCCTGTCCTAGATAAGCCTTTAATTTTATTATTTTCTTCTTAAACAAATTTTTTTTGGGGGGCTGGCACGGTGGTTCACGCTTCTAATCCCAACACTTTGAGAGGCCAAGGCGGGTGAATCACGAGGTCAAGAGATCAAGACCATCCTGACCAACATGGTGAAACCCCGTCTCTACTAAAAAATACAAAAGTTAGCTGGGTGTGGTGGTGCATGCCTGTAACCACAGCTACTTGGGAGGCTGAGGCAGAAGAATCGATTGAACCTGGGAAGCAGAGGTTGCAGTGAGCTGAGATCATGCCACTGCTCTCCAGCCTGGTGACAGAGTGAGACTCCAACTCAAAAAAAAAAAAATTTTTTTTTTTTCTGCCTTGACCTCCAAAAGTCCAGGATTACAGGTATGAGCCACTGTACCTGGTACCAGTTAAGCCTTTAAATGACTGCAGCTGGCTGATAGTTTGACAGCTATTTCAGGAGAGCTCCTGAGCCAGAACCATACCACTAAGCTGCCACCAGATGCCAGACCCTCAGAAACTATTTGAGATAATTCTGTTTCAAGCCACTGAGCATCAGGGTATTTTGTTATACAGTATACTTTCCTTCTTATATTTTATTCTTTTTTGGGATTCCCAATTGGATGTTGGATCTCCTAGATTGGTCTTTTACTTTTTTAATGTCTTTTATCTTTTATATCATTTATTCTTTTCGTTTTACATACATGTTCTTACTGTTGTATAGAATTTCCTCTAAAAAAATTTCCAAATGTGTTTAGGGTGTTTCATTTTTCTTTATCTGTTTCTCTCTCTAAATTATCCTTTATCCTTCTAAATTGCTTGAAAAACTTTCGCTAGTGTTTTATGTTGCTAGTTTTCCTCATTTGCCTGATGATCCCTGATTGTCCTGGAAGAGATGGTCAGGGTAGCTCATATGAGTTTATTTCATTGAGGTGTAAAGAGGTTTGGTCTTAGTAATTGTTTCTAGTCTGTGTACATTGGTCAGGTGTATTGACTGTTAGATTTGGATTAGGGGTGGGAGAAGAGCCAACTGCTCTAGTTTGGAGCCTCCAGATGCTAACATTCACATTAGAAGTCCCAGTGTTGTCTAAGCTGCTTTTCCAGTTTCTCTGGCTAAGAATAGTCTGGTTTTTGTTGTTGTTGTTGTTGTTGATCTGTTTTTTTTCTTCCATGAGGTAAATGCCCAAGCCTCCTGAATGCTCTTTTTAGTGAGAGTTGGGGAAGGATTTAGGGTGCTATGTAGTGAAGTCTATATACAGGCCTTAAAATAATTATTCTGTTTTCAGAGTCATTTCATATTTATGGCTCCTGTCTTCTGCCTCATGTGCTGATTCTGAACCCAGAATTGGCATTCTAATTTCCTTTTCTGTAACTTTTGGATAATACATAACTCGGTGCAGCTTTTACAACTTCCTTTTCTCTGTCATCATGTCTCTATCTCCTCCAGTCTTTCAGAAATTTTGTTGACATCTCCTATTTGTTGGTGAAATTCTCTTCTATCGCTTCATCCTTTTTCTGTATTCTGTGGGAATATTTCTTCATTTTTTATTTTTTCTATTTTTATTGCTGTGGAATTTTTTAAAAGGAATGAGGGACAAAAGCACATATTTAGCTAGTAATCTTGAATTAAATACTTAATGTGTATTATTGCAGTATATAAAGTTAAATTTTTAGTAACAAAAGCACTAAATTTGTGTTAAAATTTAGAAAACACAAATAGTAAAAAATAAGAAATAATTTATTTTTACTACCAGATTTCCTAACCTAGGTTATATCCTTACAAGTCTTTTTCTAAGTACATATGCACATAAATGCATTTTTTAACCAAAATGAGATTTCACAATACCATACTTTTCTTATGAAAAATTCCAAACACAGAGAAAAGCTGACAGAATAGCATTCTGAACACCCATATATCAGTATAACCATCACTTTGTTAACATTGTTCTGTATTTGTTCTCTTGCTTTCTCTCTACTAGATGAAGTTGCAGACATTACTGCTAAATGCTTTTAACATGCATGCCTTAGAATTGGGAATCTTCTCCTACATAAGCACAGCATATCATACTTAAGAAAATTACTTTTCCTACAAAATAAAGAAAATAGCTTCAAAATATTAAACTCAATACTAGATTAAACAATGAAAATTATTGAATAAAACTTTAAAACTTTTTAAATTAAAAAATGTTTAAAAAGCATAAAAATTTTAAATTAACAGATTATTTTGTCCTTCATTGCATTCCACCAGAGATATATAGTCAAAGTTTTGTGCTCTGAAGTTACTTAAGAGCAACCCTTTTTTTATGAGGTGATGTAACTGGTTTGATATATAGTTTTAGTTCATCCATGTCAGTATGTTTGCAATTTTAAGAACTAATAAAAAAAGCTTAATTAATACTTTAAGAAATTGTTTTTATTTGTCACTTCCCACTCACAAGTGAGACAAAACAAAAACAATTTTCTGAGGAATCAATTAAGCAACGTACCCAGAGCAGATTGGGTGGTATTTCCTTGAAAAGGAGAGTGACCACCTTATCCTCTGAGGAAACTGGAGGGAAGGAGGAAAGAATGGATGGAGATAGAGGTAAGTTCCATTGGCTTTAAGGGAAGTATGAAGTTTAGGCAGATCACCTTTGATTGCCCTGGTTTTCAGGGTTAAGTAAAAGGTGAGTTCTGCTGGGTGAAAAAGAATGTGACCTGAAGTTTGGAATTGCTGAGGAAGAGTGGGAGACGTTGGTCATGAAAGCTGACTATAAATAAAGATTGCTAAACAATGCTTAGAGCTCAGTTATAGTCAAGATCATAGATTTGAATGTCATAAGTCTGCAAAGTTATTGACTCCATCTCCTAATTTTTGGAAGGTTTGACCTCTTTTGGCAGTAGCCAGGGCACAGGAAGAACAATTGAGGGATCAGGCAAATATGATTGCTAGCAAACAGAGGCAGTTCACAGAAGTCTTCAGGATAATGAGCTCTACTTTCTCCCAGTCTCGGTTCTTGCATGCCGCAATGGTGACAGGTGAGGCAATAAAGATTTATGGGCATTTCATTTGTTTATGTTGGCCGTGGCCACACCACTAGGATTCTGGATCACACTGATTCTATTTATAACAGTCTCTTTCCAAAGCTGTCTGACCCCAGAAAGCGTGTTTGAGACCCTATTTTTATCCATTGCTCAAGATAAAACTTGCAAAATCACGTGTTGTTCTGCTTTTGGATGACTATTTACATGTCAACATTTTTGTTTCTATAATATTATTAACACATAAAGCAGGGCCTATACCTGAAGTACTATTAATACTTGGCAGCAGTACTGATATAATTTAGTTTTATCCAGATCCTCTCCCTCATTTGTTAAATTCCTTTTTATTTTTGATCTTATTTCACATCTGTGTTGTAAGAATGTCAATAATCTGTATAGTAGAGTCTCCTTATCACCGGGGATCTGTTGCAAGGCCCCCAGTGGATGGCTGATAAAGTTTATCTGATAAAGTTTATAAGTTAAGCACACTAAGAGATTAGCAACAATAATAATAAAATAGAAAAATACAACAGTATGCCAGCATCATTACTCTTACACTTTGGGGGCCATTATTAAGTAAAATAAGTGTTACTTGAACACAAGCATTGGGTTATTACAGCAGTTGATCTGATAACAGAAATGGATATTCTAGACAAAGGGATGATTCACAATCCTGGACAGGACCAGATGGGACAATATGAGATTTTATCATGCTACTCAAAATGGTGCATAGTTTAAAATTTTTGAATTGTTTATTTCTGAAATTTTTCATTTAATATTTTCTGACCATGGCTGACCACAGGTAACTGAAACCATGGAAAGTAAAATCCTGGATAAGGGGAGACTGCTGTAGTTGCTTTTTTTTTTTATTGTGTCTATATCTTTGCATGTAAAAAAAATTCTAATGTAGAAGCATAAGATATAAAATATTTCAAGTTTATAACATACAGTATAAGTCCTCTAATCAAATATAGTACATTATTAGGTGATTTAAGTACAAAACGTTTTCTCACTGAACGCAACAGGTTTTACAGTGATTAGTACTCTTACCTATCTGTTTAATGCCTTTCTGTAGTTGTCAAGTTTCCTGCATGAAAGAGGCAGTATTACTTCTATATTTCCTTTCATCCTTCTTTCTTGATCATTGCCCTCCCCCGCCACCTTTATTTATTTTTACTAGCCATCTAGATGTAGGAGTGAAGGCGTTAGATTATAACCTTGACCCATTAAGGTTTGTCAGATAGTTATAGCTGAAATACAACGGAATTATATTCCCAGTGAGAGTTCAGATACTTAATAAAGAATAAGAATTTATTTGGGAATGGCTGTTGTTAAACATATTGCATTTTAATTGTAAAATTTATCCAGTACAGAAAGGCATCAAGAAGCAACAATTTTATCCCTAATCCCACTATCCAAATAACATGTTACTGATTATACCCTATAGCACATAAAATTGTGCTATAGGGTATAATCAGTAACATACATGTAACACAGTATAATTCAGTAACACAATTTTTTACTAGATATTTTAGCATAAGAATTTCCCTACATTATTATTGAAAGCTTCTTGTAACTATTAAAGTCTGTATTTCTTTGGGGAAGCAGTAGAGTGTAGTGGTTGTGAGCGTGGACTCTGGAACCAAACTGGGCTTATATCTCAGCCACACTCCATTGCCTCGAGTAATTTACTTAACTTCTCTCTGCCTCAGTTTTCACATTGCTACAAAGGAATTTTTATACTGCCTCATAGGGTTGGGAAGATCAAATATACTGGTACATTTTAAATGCTTAGAATAGAATGCTTGGCACATAATAAGCATTATATCAGCACTGGCTATTGCTGTCATCATTTTTATTCTACAGTTTACTAAATCATTCACCCACAAGTGGAATGTAAGGTTTTTTTCTAATTTTAATTGTAATAAACATTGTGTGCCCAGAATTTTTCCTGTATTTTTAGTCTGGATCCAAGAGTATGAATTTTTGGGGTTGATGATGATGAGGATGAGAAATATTTTTGCATGTTAACTGTGTACTTAGCACTGTTATAATACATTCTACATATTGCATTTTGTCTTGACACACCCATGAGATAGGTAGTATTATCCCAGACACAGATGCCTAGGCTAAGGGAGATTAAGTTAATTTGAAGTTATGCAGTAATAAGTGTGGAACAAGGGCTATTTTTTGCCTGGTCTTTACTATTTTTCATATTTAAAGGAAATAGTGGAGAGTATGTGCCGTCACGCCCCCCCCCCCCAACACACGCAGGATCAATTGCAAAATAAGAATTAATAACCTGATAGCTGATTGTTTCAGGCACAGGATAAATGTGATATTCTGAGTGTTTGGAAAAGTTCTTACTTTTGTATTTTTAAAAAACAAAGTAAAATTAGCCAGCCATGGTGGTGCATGACTGTAATCTCAGCTACTTGGGAGGCTGAGGCAAAAGAATTGCCTGAATCCCAGAGACAGAGGTTGTGGTGAGCCAAGATTGTGCAGTTGCACTCTAGCCTGGATAGCAAGAGTGAAACTCCATCTCAAACAAACAAAATAAACAGAGTGAAAACACTGCTTTTCTAGTAGACACAGCAAAAATCCTTGCTGTGACTTTACCGCTCTTGCTTGGCTATACAGTCAGTCCCATCTAAATCATATGAATTGAAAAGGATGGTGAAGGAGTGATTTTTGTCAACAAAAATTGAGGCCTGCTGTTATCAGAAAAGATAGTAGCTACCGGTTATATAAGAACAGCATCTGTCCACAGTCCCCATAGTAAGATTTCCTTTGGAAAGTAGGAGAGTATGAGCCAAGGGCTTGTTACATTGCAGGATTTGGTTAACATTTATTGTTGTTATAGATGGAAGGAGTTGTTTTATTTATTAATATAGTTTAATTTGTGATTTATCCTTTTATTTTTAACAGTATAAGCAAACACATATATATTTGCTTTGTGTGCTACCATTTATATAAGGAAGTAGGGCTGGAGATATGAATATATTTATGTATATTGAGATATAAAATATTTAATTTTTACCAGAGTCTCTTTCTTAGGTAAGTGGTAACATGTATGTACACTTTCTGTACCTTGCTTTTTCACTTAATGTTATAGCCAGGAGATTCCACCATGTAGTGTGTAGAGATATTCTTCATTCTTTTTGAAAAATTTTATATTAAAAATATTATACATAACTGTACATATTTAAGAGACACACCTGAAATCTTGATATATGAATACAGTGTGTAATGATCAAATCAGGATAATTAGGATGTCTGTCACCTCAAACATTTATCATTTCTTTGTGTTAGGAACATTTCAAATCTTTTAGTTAGTTTTGAACACATAATCAATTATTGTTAACTATTGTTACCCAACTGTGCTATCAAACACTATTCCTTCTGTAACTGTATGTTTGTACCCATTAACCAGCCTCTCTTCATCTCCTCCTCGTCAACCCTTCCCAGCTTCTGGTAACCACCATTTTACTGTCTACTTTCATGGGATTCACTTTTTAGATTACCACATATGAGTAAGAAAAGGTGATATTTGTCTTTCTGTGCCTAGCTTATTTCACTTAACATAATGACTTCCAGTTCCATCCATGTTGCTGTAAATGACAGGTTTCACTCTTTTTATGGCTAATGTTCCATCCTTTACACACACACACACACACACACACACACACACACACACACCCCAATATTTTCTTTATTCATCCGTTGATGGAAACTGGAAACTTAAGGTGATATCTTCACTATTGTGATAACAATAAACATGGATATGCAGCTAGATCTTCAATATACTGATTTCTTTTCTTTTGAATATATACTCAGCATTTGGATTGCTGGGTCATTTGGTACATCTATTTTTACTTTTTTGAGGAACCTCCATACTGCTTTTCATAGTTGCTATACTGATTTACATTCCTACCAATAGTATTTAAGCATGCCCTTTCTTTACATCCTTGCCAGCATCTGTGATTGTTTTCTTTTTGATAATAGCTATTTTAACTGGGGTGAGATGGATGATATCTCATTATGGTTGTGATTTGCATTGCCCAAATAATTAATCATGCTGACCTTTTTTTTTTATCCATATGCCCGTTGGCCATTTATATGTCTTTGTTGAGAAATGACTGGTCAAATAATTTGCCTATTTTCAAACTGTATTATTTTCTGCTATTACATTGAGTTTCTTCTGTATTCTGGTGATTAATCCTTTGTCGCATGGATAGTTTGCAAATAATTTCTCTCATACTGTAGGTTGTATGTAAACAACAGGTTGTATGTAAACAACCTGTTGTTTTCTTAGTTGTACAGAAGCTTTCTAGCTGATATAACCTATTTGTCTATTTTTGCTTTTGTTGCTTGTACTTTTGATGTCGTACACAAAAAAATATTTACTCGGACCTATGCCTTAAGCATTTCCACAGTGTTTTCTTCTAGTAGTTTCATGCTTTGAGGTATTAGATTAATTTTTGTATACATTGAGAGTTAAGGGTCTAGTTTCATTTTTCTACTTATAGATACGTAGTTTTCCTAAATCGTTTATTGAAGAGACTGTCTTTTCCTAACCACTGAATGTTTTTGGTACCCTTGTTGAAAATCAGTTGGCTGTATTGGTCATTTTCACAATATTCTTCCAATCTGTGACACGAGATGTCTGTCCATTTTTTGGTGACCTCTTCAATTTCTTTCATCAGTGTTTTATAGTTTTCCTTTTAGGGGCTTTTGCCTCCTTGGTTAAACTTATTCCTAGGTTTTTTTTTTTTTGGTAGCTGTTGTAAATGAATTTTTTTCTTGATTTCCTTTTCTGGTAGTTTATCATTGATGTATAGAAACACTGCTGGTTTTTCTATGTTAATTTTGTATCCTGCAGCTTTACTGAATTTGCTTATCAGTTCTAAGAGTTTCTTGGCAAAGCTTTTAGGATTTTCTTAATATAAAGTCATATCATTTGCATATAGGGACAGTTTGAATTTCTCCTTTTCCATGTGGATGCCCATTATTTCTTTTGCCTAAATGCTGTGGCTAAGATTTCCAGTTCTGTGTTGGAAAAGAGTGGTGAGAGTGGGTATCTTTGTCTTGTTCCAGTTCATAGATGAAAAGCTTTCAACTTTTCCTTGTTCATTATAATGTTAGCTGTGGACTTATCATTTACAGTCATTGTGTTGACATACCTCCTTCTATATACAGTCATCATTGTGTTGACATAGCTCCTTCTGTACCTGGTTTGTTGATGGTTATCATGAAGGGATGTTGAATTTTGTCAAATTCTTTTTCTGTGTCTATTGAGGTAATTGTATAGATTTTGTCCTTCATTCTGTTTCTTTGATGTATCACATTTATTGGTTTGCATATGTACATCCTTGGAGTAAATCCCATTTGATTGTGGTGAGTGATCTTTTAACTTTCTAGTATTTGTTGAGGAATTTTTGCATCTGTGTTCATCAGGGATATTGGCCTATAGTTTTTTTATGTCTTTGGTTTTTGTATTAAGGTAATGCTTGCCTTGTAGAATGAGTTCAGAAGAATTCTCTTCTTTTTATTTTTCTGGAAGAATTTGAGAAGTATTGGTATTGGTTCTTTAAAATTTTGGCAAAACTCAGCAGTGAAGTCATCTGGTCCTGGGCTTTTCTTTGATGGGAGGCTTCTTATTACTGATTCAGTCCTATTACTCATTATTTATCTGTTCAGATTTGTAATTTCTTGTTCAATTTTGGGAGGTGCATGTATCCAGGAGTTTATCCATTTCTTTTAGGTTTTCCAGTTAGTTGGCATATAGTTGTTCATAACAGTCTCTAATGGTCCTTTGTATTTCTGTCGCATCATTTGTAATATTCCATATTCATTTCTGATTTTATTTTGAGTATTTTTTTTTGTTGGTTAGTATAGCTAATGGTTTGTCAGTTTTACCTTTTCACAAAACCAACCTTTCGTTTCATTGATCTTTTGCATTTTTTAGCTCTCAATTTTTTTTTATTTCTGCTCTGATCTTTATTATTTCCTTCCTCCTGCTAATTTTCGGGTTGATTTATTTTTGCTTTTTCGGTTCCTTGAGATACATTATTAGGTTGTTTATTTGAAATCTTTCTACTTTTTCAGTGTTGGTGTTTATTGCTATAAACTTCCTATTAATTCTACTTTTGCAATGTCCTATAGGTTTTGGTATGTTCTGTTTCTATTTTCATTTGTTTCAAGAAACTTTTAAGTTTCCTTCTTAAGGCTGGGCATGGTGGCTCATGTCTGTAATCCCAGCACTTTGGTAGGCCAAGGTGGGTGGATTGCTTTAGTCTAGGAGTTTGGAAACAGCCTGCACAACATGGTGAAACCCCAAAATAC